TTGTGTTAACTTCATAAGGGCGTGTAATAGGTAATCTGGGTAAGTGTTAATTGTTCAAAAACTGCATGGAAAACGCAAAGTCTTTTAAAATATTTTGTCCTCATGTCTACCGATAGAACTAGTTTCTAAGTAAGCCTTATAATCTGGTGATGGTAGACAGTGAATTTCTCCATTTATTGCATGCTTTCTCTTGGCTTTTCTGTCTTCGCTTCTGGAATGACAAATGAATCTTCACATGTAGTCATACTTGTCAAACTCACTTGAATAGCGACTATCAGAATTTCTGGGAGTAATAAGAAATTTGAGTAACTCGGGTTTGGTATGCAGGAAGGGAAGTGGCAGTTAATAAAGGGAACCCCAGATAGCCTGCGGTAGGGTAGATGGGACTGTACTACATTAGCCAGACGTGCTCAGGATCTTCCGTCAAGGCACTGTGTTAGGGCTCTGGTTTGGTGCACATACAGTACAGCCGCTAGATGTCATCGCAAAGCTAAGCGAAGCTGCGGTGCGTTCTCCCAGCACACCGGATTCTGGGAAAAAACAGTCTGTGACTTCTCTGTCCTCTTTTGAATTTAATACTAGGTTTTTTTTCTGTATTTTTCCAGCAAAAAAGCATAGAGATTTAATGTGCGTTTATGTTCTGGCAAACAAGTTAACATATTCTTGCCCTAGAGTTGTTTCCATTGATTCTGTTCCAAAATCAAATCTCTTCAGAAAGTCTCTTCATAAGTCTTTATCCTCCAATATGAGAAATAACTCTATAAGATTACTTATAAAGTGATGGTATAATTATAACATCCTTTATTATCAGTTTGTTAGGATAGGTTTTGTTTTTTATTGTTTTTCCAGTTTCTCTCTCTCGATATACATCAGAACATATTTTATTGAGATAATTGTTATTACAGAATGAGAAATTTTCTAAATGGAAATTTCAGTATTGTGGCTGCCTTTGCACAAATATTAACTAGTTGGAGTGGGATGATCTTATATTTGGGTAGGCCACCTTGTAACCTCCAGAACAACCCTCCTTGGAGTTCAAAAGTCTATCCTTTCAAAGAGGATTAAATTTTACCTCAGCGTTTTAGGAAAGAAAGGCAAATAATTGATTTGCTTTTGAACCTCACTGCAAAGTACAACCATCTGTGATGTGACAAGTCTTCTGAGACCGTAGCTTGTTACCTTTAAGTTGAAGAATACAGTGTATTTATGTGCAATAAAATGGTGTACTTCTATATGCCAGTTATTGCTGCTGAGGGCCATGAACAGGGGTATTCCGTCAGAACTTTCTGATGCTTGAGGATGAAATATACCCCTTGTAGGCAGCAGACAAGAAGCCGAAGTGGGACGTGTCTGCGTGAAGGCACTGTTTATGTTCCCATTCAATAAGCTCTTTAACTTCCCATGAAGTTGATCCTATGACAAATAGCTAGACCACTCTGTTTGTGTCAGTCATGGAATTAACCTCCTTTGAAAACTTCCAGTCCTTATCTAGGCATGAGTAGACAAGAAAACATAGATCTCCTGCCACACTTAATTGCTGTTGCTTGTACTGTAGAAATTCAGAGTATCTTGGGGCTAATGTAAATTGCCACTGAAAAATACCAATTTCTTCTTGTAATCCAGTAAAATCAAACTCTAAATCAGGCTTCTGAATCTAGCTTGAATAGAGCCACAGCAAAATGTTAAGTGTGCTGAGCTGATTGTTCCATTTATTCACCATGAGCCCATTATAAACTAGTATAATTGTCAGGGTGTGTCGTGACATATCTAACTTCTAAAAGCAAATACATATATGCAGGAAGTTCTTAATTAGGATTTTTTTTCCCCCGGACATGACAAATCTTTACATTGAAAGACTGATAGGTTTTCTAAGTGGTCACCCGACGTGGGAATGTCTTCATTTGTAAATCGTAGAGCGTAGCTACACTTCGAACTTACTCTGGGCTTTGTGTCTTCGTGAAAGTGCTGTAAGAAATAATTTTAAGTATTTCTTCTTTCTGAGCTAAAAACTTTGTGAACTCTTCCCCCCCGGCTAGGAGCTTTCCCATGCCCCCTGCGTGCAGCAATGCAGCCATTTATGCTGGCCTCCCCAACCAACTGCTGAAGCATACTTGAAACTTTCCAGCCCTTCTTCTCCCCCTCTTCTTCTGATCTTCTCCAGATGTTGGCCAGTAGTTTGGCTTTACTCTGTTTAGTGCCCAACTAATCAGTATTTGCTCTCCCCTGTGTGGCTGCTGCTCTTGTAAACACCCTTGCGTTTGTACAGGGACCTGCTTCTGGAAGTGGGTTGGCTGGCCCTGAGCTGTCACTGCATCTTAGGGGCAAGCCTTTTTATTACACAAATGTTGTGGGAATGGTGCAGTCTCGGTGCACTGTAATATACCATTTAAGCTATGTTCTCCTCAACTCATTGCATTTGTGAAGCATGGAGCTGTCTTAAAACAAGTAACTGATGTTCTAATTGGGTATCTTGTGCTGTATGTGTAGTAGAGGTAACTGATGTTCTAATTGGGTATCTTGCTCTACTACACATACAGCACAAGGAAGTCATTGTCATATATTGGAAAGTCGTGCGGTTTTGGGGCTTGAAGGAGGGGTAGCAAAGAAACATCCTGTGGCTGTTCTTGTTTCTCATGCTTTGTTGCCACAGATGGAGTGAATTGTGTTACAATCAAGGCAGTAAAGTCAAGGCTTTAAAATAGCATGCATTTATTAAACGTGGGAGTAGTAAAAAGGTATTGAAGGTACTTAGTGCTTGAAAAAAACGAAATATTATGAATTGCAAGAACAAGGATTTTGCAGCGTTAGCATTGTTACAGATATGTTTGAGGGATGCCCAACACTTTGTGTGGTTGTAAACAGTAGTGCAAGGAGGAGCTTGCCTCTTGGAAGAAGTTAGCATCACCTTTATTGCTCTTGGCTTTGAATGTCAAGCTTTGGGCCTGCTGCTTTGGAGCTGCTGCAGTACGAGTCATACAATATGGATTTATGGGGTGGAGGCACAGTGAGATGTGTGAGAGGTATAGCATGTCTCTTGGTGTGGAGGCTCTTGGACTTTCCAGCATCCTCAAAAGCTGTCCCCTTCTCTCTTGATATCCTGCTATAAAGAGAAGTGAGAGGGAGAGCCCCCCGCCATTAGCATGTGAAGATAGAATATCTCAAGAGGCGAACCTATTTCCTCTTCATTATTGTTAGTGCTTTTCCTTTAAAATATTCCATTTTTGGTAAGCTATTTCAATTTATCAGAGGTTGTACATCACAATTGCTTCTTTTTTTGGATCGTATTTCTGACCATGCAGCAGGCTAGGGCTTGGCAGGTGGTGGTTATGGGAATTGTAGCAAGCCAGGGACAAAGTTGTTAAAACAGCTGGGCAGGCGCTGCATGTTTAGAGAGCTTGAGAGGTGATGAGAGGGTAAGAGAAATGTATGCAGGTTGCCAAGGGATCATAGAGCAGTGAATTAAAGGGGAGCAGTTTAATGGCTGCATGTGTACCTCTGCTGGCTGTTTTTGGGTGGATAACGTGAACTTGAACGAGCCCCTCAGGATGTTGAGGATTCTAGTCAGAGAAGTAGTGGGTAAGCTTGGAACGCTTGTGGCTTGTCCATCGTTGGCATTGGTTGGGAAAACCTTTCCTCTGCCTATGATGATACAGGAGTGAAAGTGAACCACAAGGTATGCGGACAGTCTAGACAGCAGCTTTGCTATTCAGTCTCCATGCCAAGAGTGCAGTCTTTGGTTTACTTTATTTTGGGTGGATCCGTATAAAATACGTGGCAAAATAAACAGGGCTCTACAAAAACCCACAGGAGGGTAGGAATAGGTTAAATCTTTGGGTTCTTTGGTACCTTTCAGTTGCCTGAGTGGGACAATGGACTTCATAATTCTTCATGTTGACTCAAAGCTAAAAGTACTAATGAAGGTGATGCAGAAGAACGAGCCTTCTGCTCCCACCAAATTCCTACTGGTAAAATAAAAGTTTATTTCTTTGGAAAGAGAATTCTGTTTAACTTGCATCCACTTGCCATTTGCTGACCCTGAGGGTGGGAAGTGCAAGGGGAGGGAAGAGCATATGTACGTAAGCAGTATGCATTCTGGTGGAGCCTGAAGTGGGCTGTTTGTAGGGGTGGTTATATTTTCCCTTAATTTATATGAGAAAAAAAATGGAGGGTTTGCACTACTTGGCATGACCATCATTCTGAAGTACTAAAATTAGGGGGAGGCAGATAGAAGGTAGATTAACAAGTTTCTTTCATGTTCTAAATTTCCCAGTATATTTAGAAGATGTAGAAGATCTGCTTTTACTCTAGTGTGTTTGCAATTTATTGTGTTCAAATTTAGCCTACCTCAAAGTAAATCTACTTCTCAGGTGTGTTTAAAGATGCATATTAAAAGACCAGCTGATCATCAATGAAGCTTGTAACACAAATGGTCCAGGTTAACTGACAGCAAATTTCAAGAGTTGACAGGAATTCAGCTATTGTTTTAGAGGGATTTTTTTTCAGCTGATGAAGAGCGAGCAGCTATACTGAGGAGACCAACAGTAAGGAAGGACAGAAAGAATATGGGAATATCTTCTGTGGACCTCTATTTTTGGGAGTCTCGATCACAGCTTATACCTTGCTTGAAGTCCTCTATCATGAAACTGTTTATCTGTGGCCTTCAAATAAGGGTGAAAAACTCCCATTCCTTACTGTGTGCCACAAGTTAGTTAATGCTTGTTTTATTACAGTTGCGCAATGTAATTTATTTTGTTTGAAAATCAGGAAAATAGTTCTTAGATTCTGTAGAGTATGGTGACGCTGAGCTAGTGAGCTTGTGGTTTCTGTGGGCTAGCCAATTCACAAGTCCTGCCTGCTAGCAAGGGGGAGAATGAGGAAGAATTGGCGCAAAAGCTGTAGAAAGCCTATTCCCGGCTGTTTTCTCTCCATATTTCTTCTGAAACAAAAAGTTGATACTACTAGATGTAGCTAACTGCATGTTGCCTTCTGGATACTTCTAGACAACAGCTGTTCCAGTTGGTCGTGGATACTCCAGTGATTTCTTCTCCATTGGCCTGTAGCAGACGTTTAACTGGCAAAAGCCATGTTAGGAGTCCTGTGGCTTGGCCAGTTTTAAAAGAAGAGGTACCAGTGATTGACAGTTTTTTGAGAAAGGAGAATGTTCGCACCCTGACAAGGACAGATGGACTTGCTGGAACAGATTGGAAGGTCTGCAAAACTGAGAACCACCATAACCTTTGTAGCAGTTCTCCAGAGGCTTGTGGTAAAGACAATGAAGTGGGATCAGGAAAGAGTCCTGAATGTGCCAAAAATCATGAAGAACCTTCTACATCTGTGGCAAAATTAGTTAAGAAAGGTGAGATGCTTAATGTTTTGGTTCTGTCCTGTTCGTTCTCACCAAGTCCTTGGTAATGGTTGGCTGCATGCATTACAGAAGCATCAATATGTGGCATTCATTTCACTTTTCTGCAGTATTCTGATCTGCCAGTTAAACAGGATGCACCTGAACATGTCAGTACTTTAACGGAACTATACTTCATTCAGTATAGGCCGTCCGTGGCTGGATGCATGTGTGAAATTACTGCTTACGTGGGACAGCTATGCTACAAGCATATTGATGAGGAAGTCTGAGTTGATGCCAAGCAAATGAATGGAGTTCAGCTCTTACGGATTCCTTTGTTTTTAGTAACAACTCTAGGGAAAACAAAAAAAAAATTCCACAACAGAGTTACTCAGCAGAAAATGAAGTCATTTTCTCTTCTCCTTTGCCTTAATGACTAGACAGGCAACATCATCATTCATTCTGCTCTCATATCCTCAAGTAATCAGGAGCAAGTTATTTTTATAGTGTATTTGTTATTTGAGGGGTATATAAGTAGTCAAAATCATCATGGTCTCGGTTAATATTTTTTCCTTTATTTAGGAGTGAAGTACTACAAAAGCGAGTTGTCGTCACAGAAATATTCTTATATTTATATAAATTCTTAGATTTCTCTGTAATACGTACATTATTCTACATTTGTGTTAGATTTTCTTCCATCTGCCTGTGCATAAAAGACAAGATGCATTCTGGTATTATACATAAAGGGGAATAAATGTTCTGGAATGAAAATAACTGCTAAGAGTGAAAACTACGGTTAGATGTGCCAGATTTAAAAAAAAAAAAAAGAAAAAAAAAAAGAAATCTGGAAGTCTGGATTTTCATTTTCTGCAGTCAACAATTAATACTTTTCAAATCAAAACACTTGATTTTGCTTTAACGTATGTACTAGTAAAAGTATTCTCCTCTGCTTTCAGTGGATTGTCCTGTTTGTGGGGTTGCTATTCCAGAGCAATATATAAACAAACATCTAGATAGCTGCTTGACAAGAGAAGAGAAGAAGGACAGCCTCAGAAGGTAAAAAAAAACCTAACTCTAAGAAGTTTTAGGTGCACTTGGCCATTTTTCTGTACTGCTGAAGTAAGAAATACTAATTGATGAGTTGTAATGCAGTGAATTGTTTTTCTTGCTTACCTGCTATGTAAATCACTTTTAGTGGTGATTTTCCTCTCTCAAAGTATGTGCATCAACAAAAGAGATACTTTTTGGCTTTTAGTGGCAAGAAAACACTGGATAATGTTTTGAAATGTTGGACATAGTGTACAGACTAGGTTTTATTACCTATTGTTGTCATATTTCTGCTCACTAACATAAAAATTCTATTCAGATAAATTTATTCTTGCTTTTTCACTTGGTGAGAAGGGATCAGTACTTCCAGTTTTTCCATTAAAATATGTTTTAAAACTTTAGAAGCAGAAAAGAACAACTTCAAAAAAAAAAAAAACAACAAAAAAAAACTTCCCCTGTTTCAAATAGTGAAGGAATTTTCTTTTGACCTAACTGTCAAGTTAAAAGATTATAGGTAAAAATCGCACCTTACTCTGCTTGCTGTAGTTCTTTTTTAAGTTCCCCCAGGAAAAGTTGTTTCTTTAAGGTCTCAATTTTCGTAAGATTAATGCCTTATGTAAGAAAGTGAGTAAGAAAGTGTGCCTTTGACTTTATACCTCCTGCTTCAGAATTTGTTAGGGTTGCCACATTCACATCAGAGCTGTGGACTTTGGTCTTTTATGTATTAGTGTAAACTTATTGCTAACAGATCAGACTTGAGAACTGTGAAGGACTTTTACTGCGTATAGTTTTTACTGCATGCTTGTATTTCCAAGTCCTCTGAACCTTAAATTAGATAGTAATTTTATATTAAAGCTCTTATTTGGCCCAGTAATGCTTTGAATGAAATATATAAGCTAAAGGATTTTTGAAGATGAATAAGTGGTAAACTAATATGAAAGACATCTTAATCTACACTACATCTCAATCTTCACTGGTGTTGTTTTTAGTGTTTCCTTTATTCTTAATGAATAGAAATGAAAGCCAGATCTTTCTTTGTTATCAAGATCCTATCCCTAATAGAATTTTAAATTTTGTCCATTTATCTAGACTACTTGGATCTTAAGATAGTATCATGCAAGCTACTTCTCCTGTGAGATCGGCTGCTGTGTGTTAAACGTGGCTTTGGCAATGTGTTTATTTTATGGCAATGTTGTTGTTTGGATTTTGGTAACAGCACATCTGTAGTTCTTCTCTGAGGAATTTTAACTCTGCTTAGTCTCAAATTAGGAGCACGTGGCATGCTATGTTAACAGTTGAGCAGTAACTCAGTGGAACTAATAATTTAGGTCCTCAAATCGCCACAGGATGAATTGTAACAGGTAAGCATAAGTTTGCAAAAAACTCTGCATTTCTCTAGGATGAGTTAAAATACTAAGATTCAAAACCATTGTGAATGATTTTCATGTAGCTGTCTGCCCCCAAAGCTGTCACCAGTCTTCTAGGTCATGCTGCTGATGAATTCCAATAAATGACAAACTTCTTCAGGACTTTCGAAAGATTTAATTATTCAATGAGACTTTTGTATTTCCCCAAAGAATATGAAAAAACTCTTTTCTTGAAAAGAGTATTGTGGAAATGCATTTTTTTCTTTTTTTTGCCAGCTGTGCATACCGGAGCTAATTGAGAGTAAACTAACTAAAATAAAAAATGACTTAAGCAAAAATGATCATTAACTTTAAATTTAATTTCCACCATGATAAGCTAAAAGTGCTGAATGCAATTTTCAAGTCTCTTGATCTCACAGTAGAAAACTTAACGTCTTCATAATTCAGAGCAGTGAAGCTTAATTTCATTTTGCTTCAGGAAGAAGTGTGTCTGTAACTAAGTGCAGTTCTTCTTTAACTAAAAAGAGATTATTTAAGTTGAGGGTGAGCAAGGAAGTAGATGGATCTTAGTACCTTAGATGGCTACTTTTGGTTATATTTCACTAGGAGAGGTAGGGAAGGCTGAGATAATTTGTACATAGAAATTTTTTTGCTCTTTTTAGACAGCAAAAGTTATAGTATGAGTTGCATTTTTTTATGACAGTTTCCAGTAAATAAGAAATTTTCCCTCACTGTGCCAGGAAAGTTAGCTACTTCTGACATAAGACTGAGTGAGGGAGTAAATTTTGGTGTTAGGTGATGATTGTCTGAGAGCACTGTTAATTCTCTTTTGATGTCACTTCCTGCGTTATGAAACTATCCTTCTGTTAGATGGGAACTACAAATGTGCTTTCAGGTACATGACTATCTTCTTCAAAGTCATTTGTCCAGAAAGTTGAAAAATCTTCTGGTACAAGTTTTGGGTTGCAGTTTTACAGCTTTTAAAACTTCATCAACTAATTCAGGTAAGGTATAGCCAATATTTGTGTGGAAAAGCCATGTGTCTCAGGCATCTGTTAATTCAGCACACTTTTTGAATTCAGCCTGAACACAGGCATGATCCTAATAAAGATTAATACTGTGTTTGCTGATGTGATTCTGAAGACTTTACTGGAGGTACTAAAACCTGTCACAGTACTAGTTACATGAGAAGTAGTTTTCACATAGTATTCTAAAGAAAATCAGACTAGACTGATTACTTTCTACACATATTTTATATGCTTCGTGTTAGATAGCAACAGTTCAAGAACACTTTTCCATTGCATCTGTCATGCACTGTGTCATTTGTTGTGTGTCTGTCACGACTGATCTGATTCTTTGAAGTATTTCTTATCCAAAGTGGAAGTAGTACCCTGTAAAAACATAAGTCAATGTTTGGATTCTTGCTGAGAGTATTCGTAAAAAAGCCCACCAAAATACCCTATTTGTTTCCTCTTCCTGTTGCAGTTCTGGTCACAAAAGGAAGCCTATGTCCAAAGTAGTTTACAACTTACTTTCTGATCGTGATTTGAAGAAGAAACTAAAGGAGCATGGACTGTCTACCCATGGAACCCGGCAGCAGCTCATTAAAAGGCACCAAGAATTTGTACACATGTATAATGCTCAGTGTGATTCTCTCAATCCCAAATCGGGTAAGTTATAAATTCTAGGAAAGTCGTCATCATCGTTGCTAACTATTTATATGCGTCTATTCCTTCCGTTGTCTGCAGAGTAGGAGAAAGATTGGTTTGAATATTTGGGAACGCTGGAGCTGGAAAAATTTATCTTCAGAGCTATATAAATCATGATTAATGTGAAAAAGGAAATTTAATGAAAACCAGAAGTGTATTGCTGTACTCTGGAAATATCCAGCAAAGATGTACATATACATAAATAAGGTTTTGGATTTTGTTTTTTTAATTAGCACACATTTTCTCCTCCGGTGTATTGAAATTCTTTCTGGTTTGTTAACCCTAATACAAAAAAAGTGTGTTGTGGTTTTATTGACTTTGCATTTTAATGGGTATGTCCAAATTAAGCTCCAAGGCGCTTAGTTTTTAAAAAAAAAAAAAAAAAAAAAGTTAGAAATACCTGAGGTATGTAGTAAGTGAACTGATAATTTTTGTTTTGCATTTGTTGTCCGTCTGTACACTGAGGCTTTTATATATTTTTATTGCACTTAATTTCAAAATGAGATTTCTTTTTGGAGCTAATAGTAAAGTATAAAATTAATGAATGAGAAAATGTTTTGCGGCATGGACTTTTTATATCATTTTGTGTTTGGCAGCAATTTTGTTATAATTAAACTTAGACTGTACATAGCACTAAACAGTTTGTTACATATGAAAAGTGGATTGCGTTTTAGTGTCTAATGTGACTGCAGTATAAAGTTCCTTTAAGCAGCAGTCTGTGTTTGCACGTGCTCAGGTTTAATTCCTGTAAAATGCCAGAGTTGGTTCATGAAAGATGAAGTCTGAGTGGGGTGGTTGTGCTGCCTGGATTTGTAGGCAGTGCAGCCATTTTTAAATTCTAAAGAGCATGTATGCTACAGGGAGAGCTGTCCCAGTTAATCTCATTATATTCCATTTTAAGCAAGCTGAATACATGCATCTCTTTAAAGAGATGCGTCATTTGTCATGTCTCAATTCAGTTCTACAAATAGAAATAACACAAATACATACATGTTTGTGTGTGTGAGAGACATCAGATTTATGGTTACGTTATCTTTTATTTGACTTGAGGTGTACGGCAAACTGAGTCCTTTTACAGGAGTTTCTCCCAGGACAGAGTTCTGATACTGCTCTCCTGGGAGCTACGGAGCTGTTACTCTCACGTGGAAACTCTCGTATAGTGGGTATTGTATTTTCCTGTGCTGGTTCAGGACATAGCTTGCTGTCTACAAGTTCTGTATCTGTAGATGACTGACCTCCTATAGTCCTGTTGCTAGCAAGAGCTGGAGGGTGAAAATTTTCCCTCTGGGTAGATGAGGATTAAGTCTTCTACCTCACCCTCAATTTGACCTTTTTAATCTCATGTTTACAGAGACTTAAGTTCTGAAGCATAAGTTTACCACTTCTTCCAAAAGTTGTTAACAATTCTCAAAATTTTTGTGTGTTGGAAGACTCGAAAAGAGTTTGGACTGGGTGAGTGTTTGGCCTCACTGGCAGTGCAGCTCTTGGGAAACTGTCTGAAACAGCAGGCAGTCATGCGTAAGGAATTGGGAGCCGACACCACTTACACAACAGGGTTTAGCAACTCTATGGATAAGATAGCATACCCACTGCATGTACACAACTAAATCTTACAATTTGTTAGTTGCTGCATAGGTATAATAGGAATACTTTGGAAGGAGGCAAAAGTATTCTTCTTTGAGAAGGCTTCCAAATTTAAACAGTACAAACCACTTGAACTAGTCAATTACTGCTTAACAAATTGGACACTGTAGGATAACTTTTTTTTTTTTTAAGAGTAGTCGACTGTCAAAGTTCAGATGCTAACTCCATGCTCATATGGTCTGCACGGTTAGTTGTTCACAAATGCTGAATAGCTACAACCGCTACTGTGGCGTTTGAAAAACAAAGTAAACTTTTGGTGTTCAGCTTCTTCACGAAACAGGCAAAACCACCAGAGGCAGTGCTTTTTTCAAAACCAAGTCGGTCACTGGGGAATATAAATATGAATTTAGCAGTCAAACTTTAGGCTACTGATTTTGAAATCTTGACCTTACTTGCCAGCTCTTGGCTTTCCTTGTGGGATTAAGCGCATGAGAAAAGCGAGTTTGTAACCGAAGCTATTTGCTTTTTCATTTTGCTCTTATTTTAAGAACTTGAACAGGAACTAAAAAAGGTTAAGTGCCTAAGTGCACTATTAAGGTACCCAGAGCAGTGCTTAGTTTGTGTCCTAGTTGCTTTTGGAAATAAACATGCTTTAAAAATTGTTTCCTAGGACTTTAGGAAGACTCTGTAATGAGAACCAGCATATGCAGCTAAGACTGTATTTGATTTTGGCAAGTTTACTGCGGTGACAGAAACTTAGCAAGTTCATTGCTTATCTGTGCAAGAACAGCGCTTGTATCAGAATTTCAGTCCGAAAATTATTTGTTAAACTTGGAAATTGAATTAAACACTGTAAAGAGTGGGCTTCTCCCAGCTCCTCAAAGGCTGGAGGAGACCAAAAGTGGCTGTAGGTTGTGCAGGACTGCAGTGACCCGATGGCTAATCAACAGTGGAGCAATTTCTAAGTGAGAGCGATGCGTGGTCTGGAGAGGAGCAGCTGGAGCTCTGGGTGCAGGGGGGGGGGGGGGCGTAGGAGCGGGGCCGCACCGCTGCCGGGGTGCCGCAGCAGGAGCGGCCTGGGAAGCGGGTGCGGATGTGACTGCAGCCTCGCGCCTCTTCGGGAGGCGCTAGAACTGAAGTTCTGCGGTACCTGCAGTTCTCTGTTAGTCCTTTAACATGCTGGGTGTTACTCTTTTCTAGAAATGATTCTTCACTTAATGCTTATAATGAAGCAGCACAAAATCCCTGTCTGCATAGTCCATCCAAGCTAGCTAAATGAGTGGATTCACAGTAGTACAGTATACTTCAGCTAGTCTAGTATAAATGATGCAGACTTTTTAAAGCTCTGGCTCAATACCTTTTTATAAAGGACGAGTTATTGGACTAGGACTTGTGATGGAGACAGTCATTTTCAATGGTAGCAGTGAACCTGAGGTGACTATAGAATAAGAATAGCTGGGCTTCTAAAGAAGCTCAAGTGCCAAATTCCTGGATTTTGCTTAAACCAGTTTTGAACGAATTTTATTCCCTCACAGTTTGAGAGGCTCTTTTTCCTGCCGCTCTGGCTACTTCACTATGTAGTGAAAGTATTTGTTTTAATAAATACACGTAGCTATGTAGTGGTTCTGTAAAAATGATTAAGGGTAGAAACGTATTAGTAAGTAAATGTCAAAATAAACCAAGCAGCATCCAGCATAGCTGGAGTTTTAGTTATAAAGTTAACAGACCCAGTTATGTTTGAGGTGTCTGACTTAACTGTTATAGTAACTTGTAATTCATCTTTGGCCTATGAGTTTTGGACATAAGCCTGCAGACGGTTTTATTCTGCCTTGGAATGTAGTCCTTGGAGGTGTGTTTAAAAAAAGAGATGCAGCATGGTGTTATTTTATCTCCCATTTAAATACGCATTGTAAAATGGAAACTTTTTTATTAAAGACATGCCTGTAGGTCACAGAAACACTATAGTATGTTCGTATAAGATTTGGAGGAAATAAGACTCCATTCTTGCATGAGTTTCTTACAGAGGAAAAGTAAGAGAGTAGCAGCCCAGGAGTGGCTGAGCGCCAGCTGCAGGCAGGCACCTCTGCCAAGACCCGTGCCTCCTGGCCTTGCCTTCTGCTCCCGAGTCCCACACTCTGCCGCTGCAGCTAATTCTTGCAAACAAGAGAGTGATTTTTCTGTATTAACAAAGGTCCACTAAGCACTGGTATTAAACTATTCGATTTGTATTGGCTTGCAATTTGAGTCTGAGTTTTGACTGTTGGAAAGCTAATGCAGCTTGTCCCTTTGTGATTTAAACTCCATGGTAGTTTCATGCAGTGCTGTTATATCCTTTTATCTAACAACTCCTGTTTTAGTGATCTGTTTCTTGTGTTTTCAAACAGTTGCAGAGATTGTTAAAGAGCTGGAAAAGAATGAGAAGATTCGGGTTCAGCTTGAATTTAATAAACCTGGTGAAAATGTAAGCTGATTTCACTTTGTTTTTAAAGTGAAGGGGAGAAATTGCAGAGCAAATACTGAGCATGTTTACGAATTCCCATAATAAAATGATAGGTGGACTCGTAGATTGCATGTCAGAATGGGTATACCATCAACAGCAACATGGCTTTCTCATACTGCTCACTTGTCATGGGCAGTTCTTAGAAACAGCAGCAGTATGCTATGTCTGAACTATTTAAGTAGGAGTGTTTTTGATTACAGTGAAAATTATTGAGAAATGTTCCCCTTGGTCATATTGGAGGATTTTGACCCTCCATGGTAGTGTGGGGAATATTTTGCTTCCTAGAATTCTCTAGGATTTATCTAACAAATTTCTTGCTTGGGTATTAGCAGTAGCTCCTGTTCTTTTCCCATGACACATGCTACTTTTTTGTCTCTTGTATGTTTGCTGCACAGCATTAGGGAGTATTTTATGGTACACACATGCTGGATGTAATGTGAAGTGGCTGGGCTTACTCCTGATGTCTTTGTGAAAGCAAAGCAAGGCAGCATGTGCATGTACTTTTAAATATATACTGTCTATGGGTGAGACGGAGCTGGTGGGGAAAAATGGACAGCTGATCCTTCTTCCAATTTCAAGTCTTACTTTAAAATATGCAGCTTTATCATCTTTTCCCCTCTGTAAATAAATATTTGTGTGATTTCTGTAGAGCTTGACCTTTACAAAAGACCAGACAGAGAAAGAAATAGATGAGATCCATGCTGATTATCGTAAGTAGTATACGAATATATTCACTTCATTTTCCTTACAAATTCATCATCTTTTTGCTTTGTACTAAATTACCAAAAAAAGGATTTTTTTTTCCTGAATGTTTCTTTCTTCGTTTAATAAATGAAAGTGGAGGTACTCTTATTTGGCCTGAAATTTCCTCTTTGAAACCCCAAAGTCTCTGTTAAGCACTGACTTTTTGATAAAACTCACTGCCAAGCCTGGGTAAGATTGAGAAGGTAGTTGATGGCTTCCCGAACACATCTCCATTCATGCACTCGTTTCCTTAATGGTCCTCCTATATACTTGTTGGATATAAGGAACAGGAAAGTGGAGTTTCTCTGTCCTCTATGTTGGGTATGTAACACATGGTTATATGGCTTCCTCTGAAATCCTCTGGCAGAAATAAGGAGCAGAACTTTTCTGAAGGGACTCACTGTGGCTCAACCAATGGTTTACATCCAGACCAGCAGTCTCAAACCTAGCTAACTGGGCTGTTGGTTGTCACTTGGAGAAATGCTGTTTCAATGTCTTGCTCTGTGTAAGGCTCTCCATGTGATCCTTATAATGCAACTTTTGAAGTCCAGAGGGGTGGTTGTGACCGCAGTGAAAGCTGATCTTGTTTTGCTTGCGAGTCTTCACCCTTGTTTGCCTCAGATTTTTCATTGCATCCTCTGAACGTAACTTGAATTACTTGAAGAGGTTCATGTGAATTGGTTAATTATTTTGCCAGTTCTACTTTGTTAAAATTTTGCAGCAGGTGAATATCTGTATAAATTAAGTCACTCAGCTGATTATAAAAAAGAAGCATCTTTCCTGCTGTTGTGTCGCTGTGAACAATGGCATGTACTTCAGAGGGGTTTTTTAAATGCATAGTTTTTTTCAACTTCAGATTTTACATTGTTTTTTCTCTCTTGAGCTTCTGGGCACTATATTACTTCTGCTTGGCAGAAAGTTTTTAAGACTTAGAGTGACTATGAGACAGGGGGAGAGAGAGAGAGAGAGACTGGAGTTGGCTAATAAGCCCTCAAGACGTACTAGACTGGTTCAAATGCAGCTAAATCACTGCACAGGGAGGTGTCTGGGGCTGGCAAGGCTTGTTCTGAGGTGGAGCTGAGGAGATCTGGTGAAGGCTGGCTGTCTCAGCCCTGGACTCCCCAGTACACCCAGTCACGTGGATAGTGGGTTTTTCCATTAATCAGGATATTCCCTCCTGCCTTGACTCTTAGGATTGAGCACTAGTTCAATAATTCGTATGCTTCAGGCGTATGAATTATTTCATAATGCAGCTAGATTTAACCTAGTTAATTTTAATTGCGGTATATCCATTTCTGTAAAGGCTAAATAAGGACCTAAATCTTTAGCAGATTTTTCTTTTTTTTTTGCTGCTATTCTTAAGTGTGCATGCACTGTTTCTGGCTTTGAATCTTAGATGTTCTCCTCTAATTCCAAGTAACTGCTTAATAATTATTCTCTTACCATACAGAAATCTCTAACAATATAATGCACAGAAATGTAAAATATTTAGGACTGATTGATTCCTAATTTAATATTTTTCCGCACTCTATTAAAAACAGAATGGTATTTTTGTTTTTTGGTTATGCAGAAATTCTTTTTAAAGCTGTGTCCCTGGTTGTGTTCACATTGCAGCCTTGTAAGTTATATTTGCTTAACTGAGGGGGAAACGTGGAAACAGTAGGCCCTGTAAGCCAGCTTTGCAAAAAGATGCCTTGCGTTGCTAAGAATGACCGTAGAGAACTCACGTTGTCTGTGCTTTCTTTTATTTTCTTGAGATCCATTTAATCCTTTTTAGAACAAAAAAATAGCAAGTAACATCATATTTTTTCAAAACCAATTATTTTATGCCTTTTGTATTGTTAAAAGGGCTTAGGGCTTCAAAATTATGAAGTGAATCCTCAAGGAATAAAATAGCCTCAGACACTTTAATTGAACATTTAAGTCTTAGAAAATTTGATAGGAAAATATTTTAAGACTAATAGGAACATCTGTGCTTTAAAGTTATTGAAATACGATGACCAAAGAGGTAAATGTTAACTAGTGTCAGCGAATTATATCTGGTAGAAGCAATAGAGAAGACATAAGTATGCAGACAGAATTGTACATTAATTGTATAGTTAGAGGTTAAAAGAACTTTTATAATATGCCTTCTTAGCTGTAGCACAGAGGAACTTTAACAAGCTTTAGTATACAATGAGCTAATGTTCATTGACTTGTGGTTTAAGTCCTGTGCAGTTAAACCCCGAGTCCGTATACTGTATGTGGTTGTGTATTTCCGTATGAAACACGCAGGACAGCAGAGTTGCTTAACAGCCAGTCTGAAAAGCTAGATAAAAAGCTGTAATAAGTACCTATTTCTCTTCTCTTCATTATGGTTTCCCAGGCTCTTGGCAAATTGCAAGGTGGTGTCTTTTGTGTTGGTAGTGTCTCTTTTTACATGTCAAGTGTTTTTTTGAAGGAATTCCACCTGAGCAGCTACCAGGGCCTGTACCTTAAAGGTATAATTAAAAAAAAAAAAACAAAAACCAAAAAACACATTGTCCCATTTACATTCTCCTTTTGAATTCAGGAAGAGGTGGATGGGACACTTCTCCCTTAACCTAGTGTCAGCTTCATTCTGCTTTTTTCATGTCCGACTCTATTTTAAAACTCTAAAAATCTATAGAGAGAAATACACTTGTCTGAAAGAATGTTTTCTGCTGCTCTTTCTGCTTATAAATATTTTAGTTTGCAACATGATTCAGGGACTTGCTGATTTATATCTTGTATTTTAAATATTTGTAATTGCATCTGCAGTTGTTTTATTACTGAACCACTCATAACTTGAAAGGAAAAAAAGTGCATGGTAGGTAGCTTCAGCACAGCCATGTTTTACGTTGTATATGAATTGTGGCTTGTCTTGCCAGGACGTTCCTTTTTAACTTTAACAGCGTTGTAGCTACACCATAAAACAAAACAACAGAAATAGTAATACTTACAGGTGGAAAAAATGAAGCAGCAAAGGAATAGGGTAATAAATGTGCACCGGTTCAAATACAAGCATCTTGGGCAAGAATTTTCTTTTTCTTAAAAAGAACTGTTGACCTTCTGTGGTGTGCTCTGCTATTCAAAGAGAGGGGAGTCAGTTTTAAGCAGTACATGGGAAAATTATTTCAAATTAGTTTCCTTCTGTGGGGCAGAAGTTAGTATTATTTATCTTCTTTTTTTCCCCTTCCTCTCCATCACCATAGTAGATGTAAATCCCTGATGAGATGCGGTGGTTGTTTGCACATGTGTATGGCTGCACTGGACGTGGGGTTGAGGGCGCCCGCCGCTGAGAGGGCGGGGGGTATCCAGCGCCCGCACAGCAGGAACACACGGTAGCAGGAGGTGGTGGTGTCAGGCAGCCCCTGGTATCCCGGCGGGCACCAGCTGCGGAGCTGAGCTTCCGGGATGAATCCTGTGTCCGGGCTGGGAGCGGAAGGAATGAGAGTAGGAACTTGGGGAGCAGGAACCAACAAAGGTGGAGAACCTCTGGTGCCCCATGGAGGGTGGAGCAGAGTTAGAAGGAGCTCTAATTTAAAAACCCTGCGAGTGCCTGTGCTGAAGGTGAATGATCTGAAGGGTGGATGTGAAGTTTGTTTGCATCTCCAGTATAATAACGTGGCCTAGGTTGAACAGGTGCCTGTGAACTCTGTTACCAGCGGTGCTGTAGCGCAAGCAGGTTGATAGGTCAGCTCCGCAGTTTTGCTGATCTCTCGCCCTTAGCTCTCATTTGTTCTGTGTATTCACAGTCACTCGTTTGCTCTCTCCCTGGGCGGGGACCTATGTTAGTCTTTCTGCAGAAATAATCAGGGCAGCACGTATATGGCTTGTACAAAGCAGAGGCTTTAAACAATATTTAGTTGTTTGTGTGTGAAAGAGAAAAAAGATGTGCAGATGTGTAACAAAGGGTACTTTTTTCCAGATGTTTTTGTCAATAGCTGTGAGCTGAATCTATTTGTTTGTTCAAAAAGACAAACCTCTTTATTGGAACAACTTTTTGTTGAAAGTCCTTCAAATAAACAAAATTTGTATTTTCTGCCTTGATTTTTTAGTATATCAGTATAAAATTATCTGTATGGATGATGAACTTTCACGCTTTACTAGTGGTGAGTAATTACAGTAAAATATGCTGTTTTTGTAAAAGTTGTCGTTTTCTTCCCTACAGAAAGCGATGTGTTCTCTTTGTACCCAGCAAGTATTACGTAATTACGTAACTTATCGGAGGAGACCTCTTACTTTCCCAGCCTCTGAATAAAGAATTTAAAGATTTCCAGATAAGAAACAAAGTTGCTTTAACTGAATACCAGAGGGTTGCTTAAAACATACTAAATGACTGCAAGTGCGAAGAATATGCAAAAGAACAATGTTAATTGTGATTAGATGATCCGAATCAAAAAAGCATAAGCACAATACAAAGACTTCAGAAATTGCTGTATTGCAAAAATATGGAAAAAAATCCATCTCTACTTTCAAGCAAGTAATGGACTATACATGAATTTTTACTCCCTCTCTAAATATAAAAGGTATGGCAGCCTCTAAAATAGTATGGCAGCCAGGTTAGCAGGGTGTATGTGTGGGAGGGCAACATCTTTTATTTACTTCTACTAGATTATTTGGGAAAGTGCATTTTGGGGCACACATGCTTTCCCTTGGGCTTATTTTTAATATCGGTCACACATTCAGAAGTCTCTCAAAAAGCAAAGAACTGGGATTTTGGTTTTCATGAGTTAACAACTGTAAGATAATTCAACGTAGAATAAATTTCATTGTTCCATGAAGAGAAATTTCATTATTTCTAAAACTAGTTAACTGCACTTTCTGCTGAAGTATATCAGGTATTGGGATTTCATTTCAGACATGGATAACTTCCCAAAAGAGAAATTCTGTAAACTATTTTCCTTGTTAAATTTTCGCATTGCCTGTTAGAATAGGCGAAAAGAATGACGTTGACAAAGAGCAGTATTCATATATGTGTGTTATCGTATCTGATGCACCAGGGTCCACTGACGCCTGAATACCTAATTTTTTTTTTTTCACATGGGTTAACTTAAGGTAGAAGGTTTTGCTGCATAAAGCATGGATGTGCCTGAACAGCTTCTGTGTATTACAGTTCTCCAAGTACATGCATTATATATCTCTGTATGTGTGTATACTGTAAGTTAAAGTTGTACGTACTGTAAGTTAAAGTTGTACGCTTGTTACGTTCTGCCTCCTTATGAGAAACATACAGCTCTTTCCATTTCTTAGCGCTGAACAGCAGGTTTTGGCATTGGAAAACTGTCCTGCATCCCACTTGAGAGGCTCCTGATTTTGAAAGTTGATGTTTCCCCGATGGAGCACTGAGAGGCCTTGCCTCCCTGCAGAGTCCCCATATGAAGCGTTGAGCAGCCTTGCTTCCCTGTAAAATTCCCAGTGTTTGTTAGTCTTAAGTACCTTTTTTTGTCTTCATTCACAGATCAAAGGAATCTTTGCAATTACTCTTTGTAAAACTTAATAGGGTGTATCTCTACAGTCATGATTTTATTCAGAAAATAGGACAGTAGAAGGTAACAGTCTATTGAGACCGCCACTTCTGTGAAGTACCCTGTAGGAATCCTTGGCATTGCTATAATTTCCAAAGTGATAAAGGGGAAATGTGATAGAGGAAGTTAAATTGGTAAATGTGGAATTGTAGGAAGAAAAAACAAACTTCATTACTGTTAACTGGGGATGCTTACTGTCAACCAAAACAGCAAGTCTGTCAGGTCTGTGGTCTATTAAGGGAAGGTGACATTGAAATGTTACTATGAAGTTACTTGTGTATTTAGGCTGAAAATCTGTTGTTTTAATTTTCCTAGTGATAATTTTATTATAAAGAAATATATATCTATACTTCTCCTGGTAGTTCAGTCTGTTGTCTGGTCAAGAGGGTGTTTTGAACACTTTGAGAGCACCTGTGGAATTGTGTTCATTGACTCACGTGTGGAAAAAATAGCAAGTCCCTTCAAAGTCACCTGCAATTATATTCTGCCTTTTCCCACTGGAGGAGCTTGCCTACAAGGGGTAGGAGAGACGAGCCAGTTTTCACGGTTGCTTCCCCCACCCCCCAGGTTGCGCTGGGATACAGCTGAATAGTTTGCCGTTTTGGGATATGCGCTTTCTTTCCTCTGCAAAACGTTTTGAAATTGCTAGTATCAGTTACGCAAGCCTCTGACAATCCAAAGTTGATGAGTTTCCATAAATTATTTGCCCATTTGGATGAGTGACACAGAAGTGGAAAATTTGTTCTTATTGCTAGTCATTCCACGAAGCCGTCTGGACTGTATCCTAATTTAAACATGTATCATGAATGAAGACCTGTATTTTTACTACGTTTTTACTATGTGGTGAATCTTTAAAATATGCTAGCTAGCAGTTTGATTGTGTTAGAGGCTGTGCGAAAGTTAAGCTTCCATCTGTGCAAATGTTCTTGACTCCTGCGTAAAAGCATGGACTCATATTTGGGTGCTTAGTAGAACACTTAACAAATTGCAATGATAAGCCTTTTCTTTCTGGAACAAAAATATTGTAAATTTATATACTTTTAGGAGTCCTGTGACATTGATCAGTTTTTTTGTACAGTAATGCACTGTTATGTTTCAGGGAACAAACACAAAAGTGAATTTCAATTTTTAGTGGATCAGGTAAATAATCGGTGGAAGAAAAGTGGTAAGAGGAAAGCAGAAAGTGCTCAAAACAGGGAAGAAGCTGCTGCTGAAGAGCTGCCCGCGGACACAGGTTAGTAACGTTGTTTAATGTAATCCACCCATCCCTGCACAAGCCTCTTAACCTGATCTGTAAAACTAGTAAGTGGATATTCCTAAGAAACA